AATGCGATCTGTAGCACTGATTGCAACGAAAAAAAGATGATTTTTCCCCCTAAAAACTGGCGATTTGCAATTTCCGAGATATAAACGACGGTTAATAGTAACCGTGGGTAAACTGAGTGTGGAGGAAAAATTTAAACGCCTTTCTCGGTCGCCAACATGTCTCATCGTTCACCCTAGACCTTTCATGATAGTCTCAAAGCAAACCATGCCCAATAACCAGGTACACACCTTGACGATCACATTTTTGGCTTTTCGTAAGCTACTACTCAAAGAAATATGGATTACTCCAGAATTGCAACATCGATGTTTATCCTGAGTAAATGACAGAATAGAAACGATGCGAATCACGTTGTGTACGTTCGCCATGTACTCTGAACTTGAAATTAATGCGAGTTTTCTCATAAAACTAAAAGCATGAACCAAACTAACATGCCAATCACGATTATTATGAAATGAAACACACCTTTTACACGCATATTTTAAAGAATATCGTCGACGCCCAGTAAAAACACTCTGGGCTTATAATCGTGAATGCCCTCAACTCGATAAATACCAAGTAAAAACATAGGGATGGGCTTCATACTCGGGAGGGGCTTACGATCGGGGAAGTACGGTACTTTAACGCAATTGGGCTTTCACTCTCAGAATACTGTGTTTCAAACGCATAAGGCTCTAACCCAAGTTTTAAAAAGCACATTGTGCATATAAAAGTTGAGTTTATACTAATAGTACACAATGCTTGGCAGCATGAACGGCTATGTACAATGGCGTATACGAATGCGATCAGATACTAAAACGTCATAGCTTTGAAAAGTACCCGGATGTTGAATATGTTCGTTCGTTAATTATTCCCCTCCATGAATGGCCTCCATGGCAAGCACTTCAAATGCCTATCCAAGCTACAGTTATAATTAAAACAAAATTAAACCACTGCAATATTATTTCGAATACAGTTTAGAATATACACAACTATAAATTAAGGCCGCATTTAGGTTCGCTTTAATTTACTCCGAGTGTCCACACACTTCATTTTTTGCATTTTAAACTTTTTTGAAGGATTTTTGTTTTGTTTGGGAATGACATTCAACTTCGTCTAATAATGTATTGAGTAAAATTGTAATTGAAACAAACCATGAAAAGATGTTACCAGACCACTGGGTTTTTTTTTATTTTTTACCAGCCTAACTAGAAAGTTACTTGTCACAGGTATGGGTAGTCAGTAATTTCAAACACTGTCAATATGCAATAAGACCTTAATCTGAAAATTGTTCTTGCAAATGATTAAAAATTGTAATTCAAATTTGTTGTACGCCAATTAATTAGTCCCCGTTCGGACGTAGTTTGAAAACGGGGACTTATGGTTTGCCCTGTGTGCGTCCGTCCGTCCGTGCGCCCGTCCGTCCGTGATCACCTGTATCTCGGACATGCATGGACCGATAAAGTTCAAACTTCACTCATACATCACACATTATATGGGACATATGCACATGCATTTTTTTCATGATCCGATTAACGATAGCCGAATAGCGGCCATTTTAAGGCTGAAAATGCATCAAAATCGCACATTTTCACCATTCCGGACCCGGATCTCAGTTATGCATGGACGGATTTTGTTCAAACTTGGTACATACATTAAACATAATAGGACCTTGATGCACGTCATTTTTTTGGGGGGATCGGGTTTGAAATGGCCGACTGGCGGCCATTTTGTTTTAAAGAATTCAGTTCTTGATCCGTATCTGAGACATGCATGGATTGATCAAGTTTAAACTTCACACACACAAGGTATATCATGTCACAAATATGTATGTGCATTTGTTTCATGATCTCATTAACAATAGCCAAACGACGGCCGTTTTAAGGCCGAAAATGCATTGAAATCGCACATTTTCACCATTCCGGACCTGGATCTCAGTTATGCATGGACGGA